CAAAGGCCAAATTGATGTGAGTATCAAGTTAATGGACGGGCTTATTCGATGAACGATCCATATACAGATATCCGTGATGATCTTTAGCGTTTCATTGTTATCCTCCTTTCATTGTCATTGTAATTTGGCTTGTTATTAAGGCAAAACCTCATCCTATGCTGAATGAACCATATACTCATATTCATTTTGATGTAGCTATCTCCTTAAATGCATATGCAAAGTTGGAGTAGGTGGCATAGTACACTACAGCCCACATGGTGGTGATGATATACAGCGGCTTCCACGAATAGGCCCGAGGCTGGAATAACTAACTTGTCCCGAGAGATGCATTGATCAGTTGAAGCCCATTTTTAAAGGCGTTTGGAATGCGAGGAACGTATTGAGAGCGGCTGTTTGAATGGATAATCATATGCGACGAACCACCATGGCACTGTTTCAACCAACTCAACACCTCCGGCAAGAAAATCAAAAAGACTCTACAATGGACGTCGCGTTGTAATTCATTAATCACTCCCCGCCCCATTCTCTTCATCATCGGCACTATCAAAGAAAACAACGTAACCACCACCACCACCAGCATCCGTTATTGTCGTCCACATCATGCTCGAGCCTTTCCTCTTACTATCTCACAATTGAACTTTTGTATGGCTCAAGCAGCTTTTACGTCAAGAACCTCGTGTGTTGCTGATGCTGTTGTTGAAGCTAACGCACTCATTAGCAAGATCGTTTCCGCCAATGAGGACATGGTTGGGATCAGGGTGAGTGGAAAAGATAAAAGGTAACGTGCGTATACTTGGGTGTGGGCAGACGAGGTTGCTCTTGACGAGGTGCATGAAAATAAAGGCACACCCGATACAACGAAATGACCCAGATGATTAGCTGAAAGAAAAGAATAGCATAAAATGCTTCAAATAAACTCTGTTGCTGGTTGTCTTTTATTCTTTGCAATTACTTTTCTAGTTATAATACGACGATAATTGTTGTTTATAGATAATAGAAATGAAGTAAGCGTTGTAAAGGTTGTGAATGCTAAGGAAAGAAAAAGAAATGGGGTGTGGGAATCAAAAAAAGTAACGAAAGTGAAGCAAAAGTAAAGAAAAAAGTGTGTGGAATATGTGTAGGGAGTGGGAATCGAACCCGCGATTATGTGTAACTGACCAAGAAAAAAAAGCCAAAAAAGGAAGAGACAATTGGTTTCGATGACTTGCGTCATGTACTCACAGGGATGACCGCGCGAAGGTTTGTCTCACCATCCCCACCTCTAGCGGGCGGACCACTCCCCGCATCGTCAAGGGACCTGGTCGGGTTGGGGGCCCGAGCAGGTGCTTGTTTTTTAGTGGTTCTCTCCCCCTGAGTGCCCCCAACACTGCAGGGCGAGAGATCCGAGGTCTCATTTACCCTAGGAATCGATCTACTTATATAATGGTTTTAGGGACCCCCATTGTCAACTTGTGGGTCTCTTCATTTTCACACTTTTCCCCACCGTTGTACATGAAGCTACACCCGATTCCAATGTTTTTTATATCATTTTGATCTTAAATTTTACTACAATCATATAAATGTAGGTTTTTTCGAGAAAGAAAGTGAATGGGTGTCATTCTCTTCAGATTTAGGGCAAACCACTGCCTTCATCACGTGGAATTCGATGACTTCATTCGCCCAAAGGCTTCGGAGTTCGGCCTTTTTTTCTTCCACCTCCACCTCTTTTTCAATCTCCACACAACCGCATAAGCGTGATGGAGCTGCTTTCTTCTAGCTAATGGTGTCGACAGCATTATAGGCAAGGGGAAGAGCCGAGTGAATTGTACTTGGTGGTTACATACACACTTTGCTCTGATTATTGGCTTCGGGAAAACACGTAAACAGCATCCTATCATGAAAAAGCTATCCATTAAACGATTATGAATCCATATTAGTTCTTCTATGTTTGGTAAGAGGAGCCCTATGGTGGTTGCATTGATGTGCACGGACCTAATTGACGCAATCCCGTCATAGTAAAATGATGGTATAGCTTAATTACAAGGAATGTGTTTAATTGAAATCTCGCGTAATGATCGCGGGTATTGACCCAAGTGTATAGGCTATTGTGGAGGTGCATATTAACAACAGCAAGCGGGGTGGCGTGGAAGGCACAACTTGAGAGCCGCAAAAGGGAGGACAAAGAGCCCCTTCTTCTCCTCTCCCACTTCACAAAGCAAGGTAAGCTTGTCTCCATTTACAAACTACAACGCATTAACAGCTAGCGCCCCTTTCAATGTACAGCGTCAATTGGGTGAACAGGTTGTCCATGGCGACACTTCCCAGTTGCAGACATTCAAGAACAAACACGCGTGTGATCTACCCATGACTCAAGTTTCCATTGCAATACAACACGTACGTTCAATCGCTGCATTACTTTATTATTCAAGTTGGACGTTATGATACTAACGTTGTCGTGTAGTTTGCTGTCTCTCGTTTGTACAAGGTCCAAGGGGCTCGTCGTGTGTCGTATGTATGCTTTCTATGGATACCATCAAGGAAAGGTCCCCAACACGTAGATGCTTTGGGTATGTTGACAAAGAAGGCAAATGCTACGGTTGCCATGACATCTTACATTGCATTTATTGTAGCTTGAGAATATTGGATGATGTTACCCGTGGCAGCAACTAGATATTGATCTCAAGCAAGAACGACACTGTACGTTGTTCCACTGGTACGCATGACATTGGATCAACAAAGCAAGATCTGTTGATTGACGGCTCTTCCAATGAAATAGCAGCAGCGCATTATGGATGGAATGAAGAGATGGAGTTATTGGATGCAAAATGCAATTGAGAAAAATGCCAAGTAGGTAAAGTGGTATCCTGGTTGGTCATCTTCATCAAAGTGAACTTACAAAAAGAAATAGAGTGAACATGCTCTCGCTCAGCTGTTATTATTATCACAAAAGCACGTCCAGGATGTCATTGCACTGTACTCTCTTGGGGAGGTGACCATGTTGTGCCAGCGGAGATCGGTGCGATCCAAGGTGCTACTTGAAGGCTCCATCATTGTATGGCTCATGCTTTCATCGCCTTGAAGAGAAGTTGGTACCTCTATTGGCAACATGCGGGATGCACACCTCATCGAGTTGTCAAAGTCGGCTTGTGAAGGGTTCATGGCAATGGGCACGATGGCATGCAGGATATGGATGGATCGATTGTGCTTGGACAAATCGACATGGTGTATACAAGAAGACGTTCGTTGCAATCATTTGGGATATACGGGACTCAGCTGTTTTCTGATCCCTTAAGGAGGCCGACCAATTTATCAGCTCACACACCTCTCCTCGTCTTTGGTCTGTCAACAATTCCCACGCCCAGGCGTATATAATCAAGGCTGTTGTCACCAACATTACATATCACACATCTCTTTCGTCTATCACATACATCATCAAGTCTCTGCGATCTGGTAAGTAGTAAGGAGAGTTTGTTTTTAGTGAGACAAAAGTAGCTCATGCGTTGCTCTTTGTAGCTCTTTATTACTTGTGTTCATTGTTGTCTTTGTGATATTATCCAACCTTATTCCCTGGTGGATCCTTTGGGGTACATGCTTTGCCGCCATCTAAGGTTCAAGAAAGGATGATGCAAGGCAGGTGGTGCAATGACAAGGGCCACATTTTCCCTCTCTCTTAGTTCCTTGTCACGGACGTCCCGATCACATTATGTACGAAGATCATAAAGGTAGGATGATAAGAGCCTTGCCTTACATTTGAACAATGTTGCTAATATATAGGGTGTCATTTAGTCATGCTGCAAGATTAGATAAGCGCTTAAATGGCCACCTCAGGAAGCCCGCAGATATACATTGAAGAAAATGGTATGTATTGAGATCTTCATCTAGTTCACAAATGATAGTTCTAAGGCAAGAGTGCTTGTACATAGATTAGCAAGACAACAAAGGCTGTTCGAAAGGCGAACATGGAATGTTATGGCGATGAAGAAGGGAAGCAGGATGTCACTGGCAGGAAGATTGACTCGATCATTGGCGGTCGTAATATCGGATTAAGCTCTTCAGAATGGAAGAAGGAAAATACGACAGCAAGACAAGGAATTATTCAGGACAAAGAAGACTGTTCGCAAGATAATTGAAAGCTGCGTATTGATGGGGACAAAAAGAAGGGCTTACGAGAGCCGGATCTACCGAATCTACTCTAAGGTAATGTTCAAAAGCTTATTATCACATGCAATTTGAACATGTTATGCTAATGTAATAGCTATAGAATTGAACAGCATGCATACAGGCAGCCTGAATCAATGATTGGTGTAATCTGATAGAAGCCACACATTACATGTAGACCAATTCTATGCGCCTATATTTAGCATCATACTGTAGCAACTTGCTTTAATGATACAAACATGTCCTAATGGATGATATTGATTACACCGCAATGCAAGTGATCTTCCCTCGTTGAGCTGCGATAGAGAATGATCAAGCAAGTGATTGACCAATAATCGTATGAAATAGAAAACAGCATATCAATGGATGGATGGTAATGCAATCAAGTGCAGTGATGAGAAATCTAGGGATAGTACTACTTGGCACATCGTCAACAGGAAGGATGGATCATGTTACGTGCACAAAGCGGATGATAGTGATGAATTGGGATGGCATTGACAAGAGGTCTTGTATCTTAGCCATGGGTGATATTGGGATACTTGAATCAATGCGGATCATGGGTGAAGATTTTTATGACTCCAGCAACCAGGAATACCATGGTACAATGAAGCTTGATGCTATATGAAAAGTGGTCTTTGTTCATTGTCATGTAGCTTGACCCTGACAGAGCCAAAGATGCAGAAGGGCTTGTTTGTGTAGTACAGCTGAGCGGACGAGACCTAAGGGTCAATGCTATTGGTAGAAGGATGCATGATCGATCTTCCTTCCCCTTAATGACAATCATAAAGTGGTTGCTGCCATGTGGGTTGGCTTAACACACATCTCCTCTTTCAGGCAAAACATAGTGATTAGTGTACATTTATTCACTGGACTTTTGTTTTGACTCTTATGGATTCTTTCAATGACAGAGTTGTACGATAAAGTAATGCGGCAAATCCTACCACCAGTGTAAATAAACCCAAGTACAAGTCATAGTTGTGGCGTTTGAGGAAGGATAGCTTGCGTGCGACATCGACGCGATGAGGTAGTTTCCCATCGCTGTTGGATGTAAAAAGCGCCTCTTCACAAAGATCGGCTGCACGAGTCAATGCATGTTGGCCATGGATTTGTACAAGGGTTTGGTATCTTTGCATTGATTCTTGTATGATGCCACCATGATCCTCCACCACACGTCGTAGGGCTCTTGTCATTTCATCCATGGTGCTATGTTCAAGTGAAAACCACAGTTTACCAGCTCCAATAGCATGTTCAAAATGCTTGGCATTGGCAAATTGATCGACAAAGAAAGGGCAAAATAGCATACGTTTTCCATGGTAGGCAGCTTCGAAAACAGACATGGCACCACCATGACTCACAAAAGTAATCACCGAGGGATGGCGTAGAATGGCTGTTTGTGGAGCCCATGATGTAATCCATCCTACTTGTTGTGTAGTATCATTGGTTGCATACGTTGTGCCTGATTTTGAAACGATCTTTTCTGGTAAAGGGGTGCCTCGTGTTGCGCTCCAGATAAACCCATCCAAAACGTTATCCTCGTAGTTATCGAACAACATCCTCAACAGGCGCGTTGAATCCTCAAGACTACTGGATTGGGCATGTTGTCCAAATGCCACATACACCACTTTTTTACGTGTATCCAAAAACTGGGCCATTGTTGGATCGAGTGTCTCCGATAAGGCATGATCACCATAGATCGGGCCAACATGCTCCACCAAAGGTCCACGAGGACGAGCATCATCAAAGCCAAATAGGTTGTTTACAAGTTTGAGTGCACCCTCCCATTGCTGTTCTTGGTGATAAAAGGTGATCCCAAATGGTTGTAGTGATAATCCTGATTTCCAGGCACCAGGTCCGAGATGCCAAATTGCTTCCACAGGCCATACAAACGCTTCGTAAAACCGACGTGTGTATGGTAAGGTTTCAGTTGTGCCCTCCTTCATGCTAAAGAACTTTTTGCTCACGTAAGGTGCAGCAGCATCTAGCGTATTGTTGTTGGATTTGATGTCATCGTCATACAAGAAATCATTTCCTTCACATACCTGGTGCATCATTATTGATCATTGTTACAATGTATGGGATCTTGATGTGCTTGACAACATCGTGGCATGCATATGCATTATGGTCGCAAATGACAAGGTCAATGGATTCAGCTTCAATAATGGTACGCAATGTACGATAATCTACGTATTCATAAATAGGGTTGGTTTGCAACACAATGTACATTAATTAGTAGGGTGGTCCATTACACAAGGGTTACGAGGCATGTGCTTACTTTGCTCGTAATTTTTGATCGTGTTGGCTTGATAGTATTTCACCATGTCAAATGACATTGGCACGGTTAACTTGTTACCACCTCTACGTCGATCCGTAGTATGCGATGGTCCAATAGAAAACTGTTTCACGTGTGAACGTTGTGCACTGAATCGAAGGTTATCATCCTATGCGTTCAAAGTCAGAAGGGTGGAGATGGTGAATGCATCCTTCATACAAGTACTCACCGTTGTAGCATGCACAACATTGTGCCCGCGTTCATGGAGCTCATCAAGAATTCTCAAGACCCAGTTGTTGTGTGAGGATCCTCCGAATGTAGAGCTGAATAAGATGTTTTTTGACGAGGTTCGATAATGGTTGGAAGGGTTTACAATCTCTGCATGACCTGTGGATAAGAGCAATAGCACCAGCAGCAATATTGAGATATCAAGCGCAACCCATTTTATGGATGGTAGCAACATCATCGTCATCTCCCTGATGAACAAACAACAAATCTTGGTAGTAAGAAGAAAACGAAAACCATCGTCATCCCACCGGAGAACCCACTCTTTTTATAAGGTTAAAACGCAAGCTCCTGCATGTTGAGATGCATTAGTAGCTGATGATCAGTTGCAGCCAATTTGGCAAAAAGTGCAATAGGCGTCGGGTGTTGCTGCTGTCTATCCATAACTGTGGTAGTATGTAGCAGTTCACGCATATTATGCATACATAATAGCGCCGATATGATGTAACGTATAACAGCATGTTGTGCAATAAGAGTACTATAATTTCTAGCTACTACGAAAAGTTTTATTTTTGATGACAACGTCATGGATACTTGGGTACTTGGAAGCAATAATGGTGCTCTATTATCATTATATTTGCCAAGAGGAGAAGGGGTGGTTACTTTATTCAATCATGCAGCAATATCAGTGACCACACTTACGAACCCCGTGAACCTGCAACAAGTGGCGTGAATACCTGCAAGCGTCAACATTGATCATAAGCCATAATATAGCAGCGTGTGAGCCTGTCAAAGCATGTGCATGTGTGTGTGTGTCATGGTCATTGCCCTTACAAAGCCCGCCCGCCGACCTGATTGGAATAGTGCGTGGTCTGTGCTTCTATTTTACCCCTTGTCACCCCCACTCCTCCGATTCAGTGATACAATACACAATATCATCATCACTCTACTAAGCAACAAACAAGGATGACATGAGCCAATGTGACAATGACAGGTTGAATGGAGAAGGGAAGAGAGAGAGAGAGAGCCAAAGTTCAAATGATTGATAAGCAAATGACGTGTCGTCGAAAAGGCCACGCACGGATCACCGGACTCGTTTACAACGACGAGGTTCATGTGTACTCTGGGATCACACTCGTTGTCTCTTTTCCTTGTTTGCCACAATCTCAGTCAACATTGTCCCATTCCAAACACAACTCATGTCCCACCCATCGACCACTTCACCACCCTCATGGGGATCCTCTGCCATGCCGGTTTACGATCCTCAATTGGACAATGTCATCAAGGTATGTCTTTATTAGGAGAATACCAAATACAACTAGTAACAAGCTTGCATGCTATAGCACTTTTACATCAAAACGGCTCATATCATTATTCAATCACGCTTGGCTCCTGCAGATAAACATCGACGACGACCCGGTAGTAGCAGACGATCTCGTTTTAATAAATGGGTAAGCGTAGCAGCAAAGGATCCATGCCATTCATACATAATGGATTAATCATAAAGGTACCTTAGTTCAACATTACGACTGAAGAGTATCCCGAGCGACTACGGCACGATTTACGCTATTGGTACACGCGAGCTTTGGGATCAGCTCTTATTGAACCTCCACCCTTGATGATTGATGTGTACCTGGATGTCCCTTATCTTCCAACCGATGTCGAGGATGATGACAGGCAGTTTATGCTGGACCGCTATCCTTTGTTTTTGGATGATGATCGTCGCCGAATTATCCTAGAGCGTTGGATTCTCACGCTAAGGTAAGTGAGCCTTGTTGCAGAGAGAGAATCAAGTTGTAATCTTGCAAGAATGAGGCTGACCTTGTGATCAATCTTCTATATACAGCAATGACCGCCCTGCACATTCATCACGCAGCATCAACAATGTTTACAAACGAGCCATTCTCCATTTCCGATCCTTGTATTCCTTTGTACGTTTGCTTCCAGCTTATAGCATGAAACGTCATATTGTTGAAGGAGCAGGGGGCCACCAGCAGCCATCATCATCATCACTTGGTATTGGATACAGGCTTTCATCCACAGACATGCCCCGTCAAGACGAGGTTGATTTAGGTAAATATCAGTGATTGGGATGTATGTATGATCGATGGCTAAAAGGAACCCACCCATCATCCATCATAGGGGACACGCTGCTCAGTGAAGACATGGATGCTGTCGAGGAACATACATTGAACAATTTACAGACACCTTTGGGGTAAGCGAAGAAGAGGATTATTACAAGATGAGTAGTAACGAACAATGTATCATAGAACATTCAATATCCAAGTGCGTTATCGAAAACATGCCAATTTCCATATCCAAGAACAGGATTCAAGTGCACGGTTCATTGATCTGGATCAACAATACTTTATGCCGACGATTACCAAATTTGCCAAACGAAGTCCGCCACTACCACCATGGCCCAATGCATCACCCTCGCCACCACCACCACCATCATCATCATCGACAACTCGCCATAGTAGTACATCACCCGATGAACGACATCAACGCCCATCATCATTACCACCACCATCTTCAACTGCAGTTGTCATTCCACCTCCACCACCACCATCACGTGTATCTGATCGACCTCACACTGCACCATTCAAGTCTCCATCTTCTTTATCATCTTCATCTAATGTTTGTAAGTGCATCTTTTCTTTTGGATTGAGAATGGAGAACAAGCGTGACTCATTGGGATATCAATAAGCAATACCATCCACGATGACATCTTCGCGTCCAACAGTGTCATTTTCATCGAGTTTTGAAAAATACCGATACAGTCAAAGTGCTCCGCCACTACATCCAAATTCAACAATAGCGACATCTTCATCACAAAGACATTCAATACTACGCCAACCCTCCACAAAGCAGCAACCATCAATATCAAAAGAGAAACAAAATTTATCCATGGTGCTATATCAAGAGGTAACGTTTAGATGATGGCTCAAGCAAGTACATTATTAATGATGACAACGACGTTACAATAGCAAGATGCTGATCTCGAGAATTTTGTACGTGTATTGAGCTTGGCGAAACCATGGCGTTCTCCATCACTGGCATCTAGTTCGGCTAGCATATACAAATCCAAGGTAATAATGTGAATCATTCATCATCATCGTAGGGTTGTCATTCACGTTTATTCTCTATGCATTTACATAGCAAGCTTTGACCCATTTTAAAAGTCTAAGAGATACGGTGGATACACTATCCCAATCCATGTCGCCATCAACGACCACATCAAGTTATCATCCTTATCGACCACGTTCACCATCTCCTTTACAAAACAACACAACGATGATGGCTGTCACGAGGCATTCACTTCCTTTGGCGATGCCACCGCATGATCCATCGTTTTTCATGTCATCGTCACCGCGGCCGCATCACGAAGAAGGTGATCTCTTGGCAACCTCTTCATCCTCGTCCTCATCCTCATCATCCACCACCAACGCTATATACCATGAGTCAACGTCTACCATGCAACCTTTAGTGAATCAACAACAACATCAAGAAGAAGATGATTCCTTAATATTTAGAATGAGCGAACTAGAATTGCAATAGAACCCATGAGCTGACAACATTTGCAACAACAACATGTATGCATGCATTTGAATAAACAACATACACCCTTGTACACGAAAGCCTGAGTTTCCAACCTTTTCTATTTATCCAGGTCCATCATCATTTTGAGGAGAGAGAAAAAAGTAAGCGAAAAAAAGGAGAAAGAATCGTTTGCCAAGACATTTTTTTTGTGTATATGTATGTGCGTGTGTATATATGTGTGTGTGTGAGAGAGTAAGTGGGATCTATATGCAGCATGTATGTATATGTAAGGGGGAAATGCGTAAGAGATAATGTGTGTGTGTGTGTTTTGTCCCAAGGTCTGGAATTTTATGCATGGGTGGAGGAGCGTGTGTGGTATGGGAAAATGCACAAAAGAGAGATGTAAGGGATACAGGAGGAGATGTTGTTGGGTCTCTCTCTACTTTTAGACTGCCACGCGTGTATGGGATGATGAATCAGAAAACAAACTACCAGCTTCTGCACTGCATTCAGTAGCAACCGAACTTGTGGATGCTCTTCGACGAGGATGATTTGATGATGATGATGATGAGGTGTTGGGTACAGCTAAAAACTGATTGCTTGATGTTGTGATCCCATGATGGCGACCTCCTCCTACTCCATCAAACCCATCACACAAAGTTCTACCATCCAAGGAATCCACCGGAGACACGGAGAGATAATCAGGTGAGCTTGATGATCTTCTTGATGGCATAGGTTCAGGAGACGAGGGGGAAATGGTAGGCGATTCAATGTTAGGGATGAACGAAGGCAAGATGGGATACCCTTCGGGATCATAATCCGGCAGGGGTAAGGATAAATGTGGCGATACAGGATATGTGGATGGGACACTGGCAATCGTCACTGGCAAACTTAATACGCACGAGGAGGATGAGGAGGTTTGTTGTTGAGACGAGGATGTCGATGATGATGAGGATGATGAAGAAGACGTTGAGGATGCTAATGAGCTGTAAGAACCAAGCGATGGGAACTTCCAACTCGAAAGCGATGACATCCATGGAATGGTAACCACCACCTCATATGTCAAATCAAACATGGATAATCGTGATGTTGGGATGCAATGCGGTGGGATAGTGAAATGACATAGTGTATCGGTTCCAGGGGCATGCTTCCCGATCGACACGTATAAATTCTCTGTGTTCATTGTATATGATTTACGTTGATGCCGAGCAATAAGCGCCACCTAATAAAGGGGGTTGTTGGTTATGTATATGATTGGCATATATATAATACCCGTCGTCGTCGTCGTCATACCTGTAAGGTAGTGATCTTGTAATCGGAGCGGTTCTTGATATGGAGTTTGACTGAGCACATGTCGCCTAAAAGGATAAGAAGGTTATGGTTGGTGTTCATCTTTTTTTGGGAAATTTTACCTGGGCAGTAGGATGGCTTGACCACCTGAGCGGATGTTTCCAACACATGTTCACCTCGTCTAAAGACTTGTCTACACATGGCACCACCACCACCACTTGTTGATGCAGGAGCATGGCAGGGTACCAAGGGCAAGTAAAGGACTCGTGCAGGGCTTGTCTCCACAGTGCGGTCTGGCAGTAAATCCAAATAGGCTTGTAAGCTATATTCAATCCGATGTCCCACCAAATCGTGATCATGTACTGAAGGCGGATAGTTGACGTTGGGAAGCTTGATAGCAAACAAGTACATGTGTCCACCAGACTTGAGTTGTTGTTGTTGATGATTGTTGTTGTTGCCACGACGACGACGTCCTTCGGAGAATAACAATCAGCATCCTTGATCATGCAACATGGGAGAAACAACACACATACCTCCATTACTACTACTGCTGCCCCAGATCACATTCTCCACTGTAAAGATGTTCTTGGGTGGTCCTCGTCCATCTCGATCTTGACATTTGAATACCACTCGTAAGCTACGTGCTTGGATTGTTTTGTCCAGTGTCAAAAAGACGGAGCCTATCAAACGACTCGTTTAGCGTCAAAGAATCTCGTCGAATTTCTTATTGCGTCTTACCGCTTATAACAGCTCCCGGACCAAAGGCAACAAGTCGATCAGTGCCGCCCGGACTAATGGAGAGTCGAAATGAACGCACATTGTGGTTACGATTGAAAATCATAGTGGAGTAGAAAAACAAGCAAAAAGAAAAAAGGAAAAAGAAGGGGTCGGGTGTGGTGTGATGAATTAAGAGTGATTCCGCTATGCCAAGCAAAGCAGATCCCAACTGTGTGTGTTTCTTTTTATATATTCACACACGAAAGTTTCTCCGCACCACCACCACCACCACACCATATCACTGGATTGAATGCATGAAAACGAGAGCTTACAGCTTCGCCACCACCACTCACACCACTCACCCACCATGTTATGCGCTCATATTAGTATATATGCAGCCACTTTTAGTGTAACACAACAATGATACAATACATAATACACTGCCACAAACAATGGTTGCTATACATACATACTTGTTGTCATGCCAACAATGATGAGGCGTGCTTTTGTTTTGCATGATTTTCCAAGGCCTCCCTCTCATGTACATTGTTGAGTACAATCATCCGAACCCAATGGGTCTCACGCGGTTCCCATGTCTGACATAGTTAAACATACATCACATACATGCTGACACAGTTAAGCTTTGGTTTTTTTAGTATGTAAAATGGAAAAGCTGTCGAACTACATTATCTGCTAAACAAAGTATAATATATATGTATAAAATAGCGAGAGATGATGATGGAGACTATGCCTAAAGGCAAGAGGGAGGAGGTCGGATGATAAAGTACTAGGAGGAGGAGGAGGAGGAGAAGAGAGAGATGGATGTAATAATAAAGAAAAAGGAAGGTATGTTGACGTTATTGGGATATGTTGTGATGTATGTATGTGTATGTGTTCATTCATTGACCCATGAGCCGCCGCGTTTGAGCCATTTACCAAGCAGGATAGCCATATCTCGGACCACAAATCCGCCCACTACCACATCCACTACGTCACATATCCTTGTCAGGCGTTGTAGTACGACATCGCACACCAAACTAGCACGATTTGCATCCTTCTTCATGGCCACATAATGATCCCACCAACTCACTATAGACTTTACTTAGCCATCTTTGTCAACATGTCTCACTTGCATATACGTACCAATGATATGTAATTTGATAAATAATCGCTGCAGCATCTCGACATAATTCCGGTATTGGTCCTCACTATTTTTAAAGAGACGAATGAGCCACTTTTCCCCCAATAAACAGTACTTTTGTGTGTCCTTACCCCTTTGTGAGACTGAATGCATTCATGCGCTCGACTGATTTGCTGAGTTTGGTTCCCCACGACATGAAAGCTTGACTCTTTTTGTAACTGCTGCTTGTGTTGCTGGATATACTGGAGACCGAGATATTGTCAGGTATGGTGTTGTTCATGGAAATGACTGAAGAAGAGGAGGATGTGGTTGTCACAGGACTCTGCTGACCATTCGATGTTGTTGCTGTTGATGTATTGCTGCTGCCATTCATACTTTCACGTTTCAATTTCTTGGCCAATGTATTTTTGAGAGATTCCACAGCATCCTCGAGACCTTCAAGCACCTTGAGACTTCCTGTCAAATCATCGAGCTTGTTCCACCGCTCAAGTTTACTTAGGTCGGCCATGAGACTCTCACATGCAGCAATCTTGATTTCAACATGAGGTAAGCGGATACCTGGTTGATGCCACATGTTCTTGGGTATATACAAGCGTGGTGTGATATACGCTCCATCCTCCATCGATTTCTCCAATGACAAGACAAGTCGCATGGGGACTTGTTCTGATGCAGCAGCAGCAGCTCCAGTAGTACTACTAGTGGTCGTCGTCGTCGTAGCAACACCAATGTTCTTTTGTGGGGCTGTCGATGATCCCAAATAATCCATGGAATGATGATTGTTGTCATTTTTGAAATCCTTCATAAAAAGTCCAAACAAAGGTGCAGCTGCCGATTGAGCACGGCCTCGCCCATCCATGCTCACTCTCGATAACCGATTTGATTTACGCACCGAGGCGAACCCATTACTACTACTTCCATTGCTTGTGGTGCTACCCGCGCTTCCTTTACGTCCAATGGATGCCAATGAAATAGGTGATGTTGTTGTTGTGGTGGTGTTCGTGTTGATAGCAGTGACTCCAGTATTCTTGGCATCCGTGAGGATAGGATTGGATTGTTGATGGCGTAAGCTACTTGTACGTGGTCCACTGGGTGTGATTGTTGTGGTCGAGGATTCCATTTTGGTAGCTGATAAAGGTGGTAATGTCATGGCAGGTTGATATCCATTCGAAGCACCAGGTGCATTGGCTGTTGGCTGTGTCGTTGTTGTTGTATTATTGTCACCAAAAGAATCATTGGATGAAGTACTGGGTGATCGTTGATGGTCAACAACAACAGGTTTGGGTGGTGGTGGTGATGATGATGATGATTCTTCATGATGGCTGCTGCTATTGCTCTTTCTGTGATTGGATCGAGTTGGTGTGCTCTTGGATGAAATGGGAGATGGAGGCCGTTCATAGTTGGTTGTATTGCTATTACCATTACCACTTGTGGGAGGATGATGATGACTACGTTTAGGTGTCGCTTGTAAACGTGGATCCTCAGGTGTTGATACTGAACTTTCCAATGAAGAAGAAGATGCCATGCGTCGTATCATTGAAGTATAGGTGCTTTGTGTTGTAGTGCTATTGTTGCGACTGCGAGTAGAAAAGTTGCGTTTGGCAGGTTTTGATAACCATGATCGTGCATCATCTTCCTCATCCATATCCTCATCCTCGTCCTCTTCGTCATTGTTGTATGTCTCGTATACATCATCCACTTCGGATTTGGGTGAAATAGCCGTTAACAACCGTATGCGTTCCGAGTATGAATCGTGCTATGGATGTATATCATCATCAATCATCCCAGCCTGCCATTGTTTCCTCTCCAAACCCCCCCCCCCAAACTGTCAGATGCAAACTTACTATTTCTTGAAGCCGACGTCTATCACTTCCTTTCTCAACCGTTGACAGCACTCGATTCAATAATGATATAGCTTCTGAATAGGCGTCAATAGCCCCAACAACATCGTTGGATGAATCGCTCATGACAGCCGAATTCGCCTTTTGTAACGCTGTACGAAGGATAACCTTTGACATTTGCTTTGCATTCGAAGATGATGCGGGTGCTGGTTGTTGTTGCTCGGGAGTAGGCGTGGGTGGAGATGCTGGTGGATGCATAGATGCCGGGCTCAGCATGGACAAGCTGTCTCGTTGGCTCATTGTGAGTGAGTGAGTGTGTGTGTGTGTGAGAGGAACGAGAGTGAAAAGGATTGAGCAGAAAAAGAAAGAGAAAGAGAGTGAGAGAGAGCAAGTCGAAATGCGCCAAGGAGAAGAGAAAGAAAGAAGAAAGAGTCAAAGAGCAGTCGGTGATAGTTGTCTGGTGTGGGTAGTGGTAGTAGTTATGGTGATAGTTATAGCAGCAATAGTCTGTGTCGTTGGTGTATCGTTACTTTTTGGTGAACCCGCCCTGAAAGAGAGATAGGTTTCACTTGGATATTCTTGTCATACAAGGGAGTGGAAAAAGATTGGCTGGACCAGGCACCACAAAGGAGATGTGCTCACCTCTCGCTCTCGCTCTCGTTCTCTTTCTCTCTCTTTATCATTCAATACCTACTCATCATCCGCTTGTCTAAGTATTCGCTCATTCAAGCATATATAACCCATTCAGCCCATTGACATAAATAACATCCCTGACTGGAATGACAACAACACCATCATAAGGAGATTTAATGTGATTCTCACACTCTACCATCAAAACGTCTCCTTTTGTCTGTGGGTATTTGATAATAGCATTTTTACACTCATCACCTCCCTCCTTGTTTACCACTATCATCACCTATTCAACTATGTCGCGCGTGTATGTATATATACTATGTGTGTGTGTGCATAGATAGATACATCTTCAATCTTGCTTATTGTGTGACATACTACGGGCAAGGACCACCATCATTTTACTTTGTCAGGTACACACATGGCACATGTGCATGCATACAATAATTTGCTATGTACCTAAATTCAATGAAAACGCCGCTAACTACTGTCAACAATGCATATAAGAAATGGTAAAAGTGATGATTCGTGTGCTCTGCGGGTTTCTACAACTTTTTCTATGACAAGTTAGAATGCGATCTACACGAAAACCAGATCCCGAACACGCTCGTTTTTGGTATCTATCTCCTGTTCTCCTTTCCCCCTCTTTCTTTCCTTTGGTCCCCCCCCCCGGGCGGAGAGATGAACCGCGATAATGGGGAGAAAAAAAGAAAAGAGAGACAAACAAATCAATCCACACACACACTTTACTCTTTACGTTTTTTCCCTCTCACATCATCATGAGGTGTTTTCATCAGACAGAGAATACACACACACAACCTTCATTTCCTTGGCACGCGTATATTCGTTGAATCCTTTCTTCCCCTTCACACATAGCTTGTGAGAGAGAGAAAAAGGGCTCAATTCTGTGATCTGCATAGTACAGCATTTGAAAGGATGCTTCAAACCCGAAAGATTACCCGATAATATCATGATAGTTGTCAATAGGCTTTTTTTTACAAGTGCCGCAAATGTGCTACAGAAGCGTTACACACACGCATAGCGGCTTCTTTACCATTTTCCACTATGGTTGCTATGATGATGGATGCATCGGTCAGGATGAACCGTGGGTAAGATCATATGCAATGCGAGCATGTCCATATTTCCGCATTAGCGCCCTTTTAATATGGTCCACTTTTCATGCTCTCTCTCTCTCTCTCTCTCTCTCTTTTTCCTTTCCTCCTTCTCTTTGAAGAACCCCCCTTTTTTTATATTTCCCCTGCGGCTGTCATCATGGAAATCCTTGCAATAGAAAATGAGGGGAACGTCACATGTACAAAGTATTATGCTTTCTCCCGAGAAGATTTGCATTTGTAAACACTTTAATAGATCCCCATGTTATTTACATCCATACATAGTACAGGGCCTTTAGGATTTGCAAAGCATGTTGTGTGTGTGTGTGTGTTTTTTTTATTCAGCAATGATATATACGTTCATCGACCATCGACATCCATATTGTTGGCGTTAAACATAAAGAGGTTATTCGCAGCCGCCACAGCCACCGTGTCTTCTTGTGGATGCCATGATGCATGCAAGATCTTTTTGCTAAAGTCCATATCGTCTGATCCAAAGTTGTTGTAGTCTCTACTCGATGCCATGTTTCTGTTGCCTGCAGGACGGCGGAAAGCAGTCCTATCCGCCTGCAATGGTATATCCGTTTTTCCCTCCTTGTCGTAAATATGGAATGTGTTGCTATACGAGCCTGTCAAGACCGAGCTAATGGGGATAGATAGATCAGCAACCATGATCCTCTTCCTCCTCTGGATGTGAGAGACTACTTACTTTCCATCACCGCTAAAGATACATTCAAACTTGTCAAAGATGCAATCGTTTTCATACAAATCGCACAGCCTGTTGCGTAAATGGTCGTGGATATAGATGGTTTCCAATGGCTTGTTGTCCATGTTGATGTCCCAAATCTTGAGTGTCAAGTAATCACGCGAAAGAATGTATCGGCCATCATTGCTGAATTTGACATCGGATACGGATGAAATGATTTCAGAGAAAAAGGAACGATTGGCTGGGTCTTCAGGTTCCTGAAACACTGAAGACACGCGTAACATTTAAGTTTTCATGCATATCCTCCTCCTCCGACACCAGCCTATTTACCTTTGGCATGTTGATCACATAAGGCAGATGCACGCATGTCACTCAACTTGATCGATCCTTTGCTTGAGCTGTACATAAACAAGTTGCAATGGATGGGATGGAATTCAGCAGCTGTGATCACCTCGGTCAACTCTTCCATATTGGCTGGTTTGATATCCACAATGTCTGCAAAATGAAAAGGTTAGCCTATTTCCCCCCTCCCATCACCTCCATTTCTTTTATGACACTTGCTGAAGCTTTGATCCGAGATATCCAAATTCCAGAGATTAATCCGAAGATCATCACCCGATAAGTACGTCTCACCATCCGAGTTGACAGATATAGAATTGATGTGATAGGTATGAGCTAAAATACATGATCAGTTATGATCCTCCCTCATCCAACAAGCTAAACTTACCATTGGCATAAACACGACGAGGCACGGCAGCAATGATCGTATCATGATGCATCAATTTGGGTATGCGAAGGGCGTTGCTGCTTGTTGTTGTTGTTGCACTGCCATTCATGGTACCATTGGATGCAATGCCATTGCTTTCAGCGACGAGCTTGAGTGACTTTTCAAAGACCTTCCAGAGCTTGATGGTTTTATCTATAGCACCACAGGTGGAGAAAAAAATGGGAAAAAGAGAAAGAGAGAACATTTGTGGGTTTCCTGAGCTCCCTTAGGTCGGATGACCTACCATTGGCGGAGAGCAAAAAGTGAGCAGCGTTTTGACGCTTGCACCACTTTATCTGGTTGATCTTTTCTTCAATCTCCAAGCTCTTTAGATAATCAAATTCGGCTTCATGCGACTGAAATTCGGTATGAAACTTGTATTCACAGCCCTGTGTCTATTCCCAAAAGGTTAGAGTCATCATCATCGTCATCCTACGTTATTACTTACATCGTCGTTGCGTTCAAATAAAACCACGCGTCCACTCCTGTCACCCGTGGCAAGATAATTGCCTGTTGGATCAAACTCAACAGCAGTGATCAAATCAGCTACAAAGATAAGATGATACATATGAATGATCGATATACAATGACAATATGTGTGCCTCTCTCCCCTCCCCTGGGTCCATTCCACTCCCTTGTCTCCCTTCATCCCATTCCTTTGACACCACCATCATCATCATCATCCCATTCCGCTTGTTCCCGACTCAAAGTCTCGAGAAAAACACATAGCCATCTTGACCGATAAATCCATCACCCCAAAGAACCCGAAAAAGGAGTCAAAGCACCAAGGTAGTTACCATCTGTAATGTCGTCTGAATCGCCCCTATCGCCGAAGCACTGGACGCATTTCCAATTGTGTTCTTGGTCAGCCATTACCCGCTAGCAAATGTGTGTTGTGTTCAATAAAAAGAAGGCTGTATTATGAAAGAGGTTTTTGTGTTGTTAGGTGATAAAGAAAAGGGAGAGAGAGAAAAAGAGCAAAAGAAAAAGAGAAACTCGAGACGTAAAACAGAGAGAGCAAAGAGAGAGAGAGCACACACCGAAAAACAACACAAGCGAGAGCGGGCATTTGGAAGTTACCCCAAATCAGGTAAAAACCCAAGGACCACGCGTTTGTATCCTGCGATGATGATGAGATGAGTGTATACACACACACACACATACATACATACATACATAGTTTTATTTACACTCTCAATGAGGATCATGCTTATGATTGAACAACACGTGACATGATACGATCTACAAGATTTCTTCGTTCCAAAGGCACCCATTCTACTTTCCATTCTTCACCATCTTCAAAGCCTTGAAGGTCATCCCAGCTTGTAAATACGTGTTGTTTGGTGAGTGGAATAGGACGTCCATGGGCACTCGTTATGGATACAATTTTCATGGTACGAAAGGTAGCAATGGTGTGTATCTTGTCAGCGAGCGTGTATCCGGTTTCATTAGGTGCTACGTCGATCCATACTCGATGCATCTCGTTGACTGATTGTACCCTGATTCTTCGTGGCTGTTGTTGTTGTTGTTGCTTTTTTGTACTATCCAGAGAGCGCTTGTTGGATGATGTAGTAGAAGGAATAGCCCGTGAACGAGGATGATGATGATGACTTGTAGTAGTAGTGGGGCCATTAGAAGGTAGTGTCATTGAACTTTGATAAAGTTGTGTTGATGATGATGATGATGAAGGCTGTTGTTGTGGTGGTCGTTGTGGCACCAATGGAGCATGTGAATGGAGTAACGGCGGAGGGACAACGAACCCGCCAACAAATGAAGCGGGTCGTCGTTGATGATGATGTTGCATCATCCGCCCGTGATTCTTCCTCATTTGGAAAGCATCATTGGATGAGACTTTTGGGCCATTGTCATGATAAAAAGGTGGGTATGATCCATAGGATGGGCTATTTACGGTTGCCGCTGCTGGTTGACTTGAAGAAGAAGATGATGATGATGATGATGGCATAGATAATGGATCATTGGTGCTTGTTCTCATTGAAACTTTCCAACCCGCATTAGGTACGGATATGCATCGGGATCGTCGATTGTCAAATGCGGGGTTTGCGTGATGAGGGTGATGGGTGGTGATGGTGGTGGTCATTCCTTCTGCTCTTGTGGCAATGGGTTGTTGCATCATGATCCCACTCAAAGAAATGAAAAAGGGGGATTTCTTTGTATTCTCCCATTTATACCCTAACAACCATCACACACCCACCGTAGCATAACGTTCTGCCAAGCTTTTCACGAAAAAAAGAGCTAAAAAAAGATGGGTCTTTACCTGCATTAGCTTCAGCTGCGGCTTTCCTTCACAGCAGCATCTCAATTACCATGCATTATAATGTATCCGACGTAGATACCAAAAAGAACAAAACCATGGATGATACATCACCACAAATACAGCTGTCATCATCTGTACAACAAGACCATCATATGCACAGGATTTGTGTATAACCCCAACGGGACATATGCAAGTAAGTGATGGATGCCAAGATCGTCAAGTGTATCCCATGTGGCGTTGAAACGGGATACCAAGATTATTTGAAGCATCATCATCACGCTTACATCATCACTCTTGCATTTGTCAACACGAAGAGCTTTGTAGTAGGAGGAGGATGTTTATTCATGGGAACAATGATCAATGAAAATGAACCATAATGGGTCCAAGATCGGGTAGTTGTATATGCTAAGAGGCCTGAAGACAAAGGGGTAGCCATTGTAGGCTATGCAGTGGTGGTGGAGGTGGCCTCTTGATTTTTCATTGTTGTGTTCGTTACTTTTATTCCCCTTGTCTTTCTTTCCCCTCTCTCACGTCCTCCCCACCAATGACCGTTTCAACACCTTCACGTCGTATCGACTCAACTACAACCAATCTTGATTTCACACCTCCCAGAACGGAGCCGCCAAGAACACCGTCTTTTCTTCGATCATCGTCGCGTCGTCGCAACCACATTACTACTCCTTCACCGACATTCGACCCACACTTATTAACCCCTAGTCGACGACTTGCACCTGACTTGCGAGGTTCATTGCTACGACGCCATCATACTACACAAGTGGATTCCTTTTCTCCCCATCGAGATGACACTATTGGCCATGATTCGGATATCTTTTCTCCCTTACGTCGCACACAAAGCTCGGTGGATCCAAATCGACCAAAGCAGCAACAGCAACCATCATCATCACTGGCAATGGAAGAACAAAGACAGTATCCATGGACACATGCAGATTGGATCAGGCTATCGAGCTATTATGAAAACTTGGGCCGTGATATGAAGAAAACGGTCAATGTCTTTTATCGTCATGAGTCATTGCAAACATCGCCTTCCAACAATGGATCCCAAGAGATTGAAGAAAAGTGGTCCGAGGAGTTTATTCGATATCGCGTGTATTGCCTTGATGTGGTTCGACGTCGTCACAATGATTCATTGGAAAATCGAGTCCAAGCTTACGAGACTAGAAAACGAAAGCGTGATCAATCATCACTTGATTCAGCTACCAATACCAGCAAAAACATCATCAACAACCTGGGTGATAATGAGGAGGAGGAGAATGAGGATAATGAACAGCTCTTATCCACGCCTAAACGACGTCGAACAACAAGAAATGAAGATGAATCACAACCCTCCTCATCCTCCGTACGTACACCTCGACGACGTAAAGCGGCAGCCTCTACATCAGCACAGCAACGTGTATAGCCGGCCGTAGCGTAGTATCCATGCATCATACATCATCATCATCATCATATCATTCCTAGCAGCAGCAGCAGCAGTTGGTCCTCTCCCACGCTTATTCCCCCCCATCCGTGATTGTATTTCAACATTAATAATATACAAAGTTCTTGTTTGCAGTAAATTCATTGTTGTCCTCTAAATTATGATTGCGTTTTCCCACTTGCTGCATAGACAAAGAAAAGAACCCATGCAACAATGAGCGCACATCCAAGAAGAATGGCAAAGGCACAGCTGATAGGCTTGATAGTGCTTGAATTAGAAAAGGCGTCCTTGCCACTGGATATCAGTTCCATCTCTTGCTCGTGCTTTTCTTTCATCATTAAGAGTCGCTTGTTTCTCTTCGTCTCCAGCAAATTGTTTAAGCATATCCTTTGGGATATCAGTAATGACGTGATAAGAATAAATCCAATGGCAGCTAGTATAATATAGAGAAGCATGACACCTGTGTACATTGAAAAAGTCAATAAAGGAGGGTACATGTGAAACAACGAGGACATGGCTTATGTATACCTGTGTAGCCTTGGTTGGCTGTGCGATCTTGTATAACGCCAACGATGATATCCAGGATGCATGTACCAACTATGGATGGTGCTTGTCAATGATATGAATGGACGTTGAAAATGATTCGGCTTACTATTGTTGGATGATTTGTAAAGACCGAGACCTGTGCCAATGTAATCGGATGGCAAAACCATGCCAATGGATGTAATCATGGCAATAGGACCAAAAGCCAAGGATATGGAATAGAATACCATTCCCACCACCGCATCAACATAGGTCCATCCCAATAATGCCGAGCTGAGGATAAGGAAAATGGATGATAAGAGCACTATGTTGTAGTATGGTGAGTATACACGCACATCATGATACGAAGACTTACAAATGCAAATACGGAAACCAAACAAGTCCATGATAAGGCCTAGTATGGGCGTAGCTACGATCGGCACGACCACGGAAGCACTGGCCTTGTAACCTGCAATGACACTGGTAGTTCCAAAATGAACCTGAACAAGTTCTGTGCTGATGGTTTGGAAAGAGGACCACACGGCTGCATAAAGAAATTCGATTGTAATGATGAGCCAAAACAACCATGGAAACTTTAGGATGGATCGAAACTGGAACTTTTTGCGTCTTGTTGTAGTAGCAGTAGTCGTAGTGGCCCCCTCCTTCTTGCCATTGCCGCTCAAATGGCGTACCATCAATGCATAAACGACATTCATGATCATTGAAAACCCACAAAGGATCAAGGATAACCAAAAAGGCCATACCCAATTGCCTGTGCGTGCTGCTAATGGATTGGCAGCCAATGTGCCGAGAAATGAAGCGAGTTGACTCACTGAGAGCTGGATCCCAATGGCAATCGAGAGACTTTGGGTACGAAACCATTTCGAGAGTAATGATTCTTGCATCGTGACAATCAACCCGCTGCCAATACCGAAGATCACACGGCCTGCCACCATGAGAGGAAACGAGGTCAAACGGCCAGCAAGCGCTGTAAGAAGACTACCGGTGATAATACATAAGGAAACACCCAAGGTGCCCCATACAGAGCCAAATCGATCAATAAAGATGCCACCCGCTACAGGAAAGATCGTGTTGACAATGGATACCGATGCTGATACGACACCATAACGTGTATTGTCAATCCCTAAATGCTATATGGGGTTGGTCGCATATGCATGCATATGTAAGTTGAGTTTTGATCTCATGCAAGGGGTAATTTACATCTTTGTCTTCTCTCTCCCTACATAGGATCTATGTACATGTCCTTTTTTCTTGATCCATTCCATCACCACCCCCCACAAACATACATTTTTCAATTCGGATTTCATCGCACCTAATGCTGTACCAGAAAAATGGGATCCCACTATTGTTGTCGATGAGTTGCGTTTGTACATGTTAGCATCCAAAGTATATATCATCTCGATTCTATACACATACCTGGAAGCATTAATGCTGTGATAAGAGCAATCATTTTATACCGAAAAGCAGCATTGGCTAAAGCTGTATCTCCAGGAGCGACATCACTTGATGATTTGACATCATCTGCTGCTGTGATGGATGTTGTTGTTGTCACTCGGTCAATTGGATTTTTGGGTTCTTCGTTGTAGCCCATGGAATATGAGTTGGAATGTAACGATACTTAGAAAAGAGAATAAAGTAGATAAAAAAAGGGGAAGAGGCTGGGTGAGGCTCATCTTCGTACTTGAAAAAGGTACTTGCTTAAGTTTTGACAGGAACACAAAACGTGAAGAACCGATCTTCTGTATTGGTACAAGGACCGTTCCAAGTCGGATACATACGACTCCACGCAATCGAACGAGAGTATCATTTATTATAGAAAATACAATTAACTTACATCATACACAGGGTACCCAATTCAATGACTAACTACTACTACTAGGATGATGATGATGCATAGCAACCACTGATTCCATTGGCTAACTCAGAACAGCAGCTGTCTCCATTATCTCCTCTCTTTCTTTTTGCCCTCATACCCTATCAACCCACCACCACCCTCCCTCCCACACCACGCGTAATGTCTGATCAAGAACACGACTTTGGCGATCTTTTCGGTTCCGAGAATGAAGAATCCGACTTGGAAGAGACTCCATCCAGAGCAACATCACCAGAAGCGCGGGATCGGGTAGAATCTGATGCTGAATCGCAAGCAAACAACAATGACCAAGTCCTCGGTAAACGACCTGCAAGAAGGTAGATTGCACATTGGTATTCAACACGACACACGATTGACACGCTTTACTAGCCAAGACGATGATGACGGCATAGCACAAGAGGTCGATCGCTTCTTTGACGAGGAAGACGAAGAAGAGGAAGAGGATCGTGAAGAACAAGAAGACGAGGGGGATCGTTTCCAAGAGAAAAAACAACGTATCGCTATTGACATTGAGATGCCATCTTTGCCTTTACCGGTATCATCAGATGGAAAGGTAGGTAGATAGATAAAAGGAGCTGGTTAGGGTTGGGGGATCATTTGACTAAAAAGAATGTGTGTGGATTAGTTTTTCCTTGCAAAGTTACCTCGATTTTTGGATGTGGATCCTAATCCATTCGAACCCGAAGCCGCGCGTGAAGCCTATGAACAAGAAATGCAAGAATCAAGTCAACCTGAATTGTTGTTGCAACAAATGGAACGTACGGTTCGATGGCGTAATGGCGTGAATGAAAATGGAGAGGAGGTAGGGTATATATATATGTGTGTGTCTTGTGGCGATCCTCTTATTGACATGAGATATACAAAAAAAAAGGTCTTGGAAACCAATACGCATTTTATTGAGTGGGAAGATGGTACAACATCTTTGATGGTGGGCAAGGAACTTTACGATGTCATCAAGAAGCCTATTCATGAAGAAGAACACCTTTTACTACTCGCACATCAAACCAACTCGGGTGTTTTGGAAAGCCATGCCGAGCTCACGCACCAAATGACATTCCGCCCAAGTGAAACCTATCGTCCTTTGACCAGTGCTGCTGCTGAAAAGACTAAGCAGGCAAAGACCAAAATGTTCTTTACGGAACACGATCCAGAACAAATGAAGCAGAATATCGAGGCACAAGAGAATGAACGATTGAAAGCACAACGCAAACTCGAGAATCAGCGTCGGAGGATGGATACACAATACACCACAGGCAGTTCGTCTTATCTATACAACGATTATGATGACGAAGAGGATGAAGGCGAAGATTACGAAGAAGGTGGCGATTATGGTGCTGAAGAGTATGATTCGGCTGAAGAAGAAGAACGCGAAGCTCGATTAAATCGTCTCAAAGGACGTTAGATGTTCATTCCCCATTTCCCTCTTGCCTACTTTTTTTTTGTTTCTTGATGGAGCTCTATTGTATATACATAAAGAAAACGGATTTGCAGATCTACATGAATGGATGGTGGTGTTTATTCAAAGCTATATAGTAGTGTGTGTATCTATCTACAAATTGGTATATCTTCTTGTGCTCTGTATTTACAAAGATCCTTGTTGTCCCCAAACTTGCCATAATCGCTCACTTAATTGAAGCGTCCACCGTCTTCTCAAGATGCCGTCTTTTGTCTTTTCACGTATCAATGCCTTGCCTTCCTTTTCATCCTTGACCGATGCATAGGCCTCAAGCAATGAGTGTGGTGTTGGATAGACCTTGATGAGAGCATTTGCTTTTTCAGGAGTCACACCACGGGTCGTCATGAGCATACGCATATACACATCTTCCAAGGTCACTGCATCGGATTTGCTGTTTAACGCACCAAAGATTGGGTATGAAACGAAATGCATTTTGCCGAGTTGACGTTTTTGATCCAGGTACGTTTGCCGGCTCACTGAATGATCGGGGATTTTGTAGAGTGTAGCACCCTAAAATACGTTATGAGTATGATAATGTTAACCAAGCCAGCAGCAGCCTACCAACCTCATACATCTTTTGCACCATCTTTGTGATATTGACAAGATAATCCACCGTATCGCTGATATTGGCCGTGCGCTTGAGAAAAAAACCGTCAACAACTTGAGTCGAGGACATGGCTGTTTGAATCGCCTGGAGACCGAATTGTACAGCTTCTTCCTTGTTGTATTCTTCAATAATGTAAATGATCTTTTGAGCACCTGAACGTTGAAGTCGATTCTAGAGATAGAGCTTAATCCCAGCTTGATCATTCAAAAGTTGACATCTTATTACCTTTTGTTCATGATAACGACCATCCTTGATACTCCCCACCAAATCATCCAAGCGTTTCCGCTCCACAATGACATCCAAGAATAGTTCATCATTCTGGTTCTTGCTTCCACGTTTTTGAGCGACCCATATCATATCACCCAGATCAAGTGCTCGCTTGGCCACACGGATGCCTTTTTCTGTCAGCTTTTCCAAGAAGTAGTCGCGATTGGTCTTCATTTTGATTTCTCGGATATCCACAAGGAGCATAATCTCATAGCTGTCCGGAGGATACACTATGAACCCTTCCTCTGTTTGACTGCTGTTCGTTTGTTGAGAGGGTGTCATTGGTGCTGAATTGGGCCAAAAGTCGTCCTCCTCTTCTCGTCCAAGAGGTAAAAGCGGTACTTTGGGTAGACCCGGACATACAACGCTTGCATCGCCTTCTCGAATGTACCCTGTCATCGTATCCGAAGTGGCATCTTGTCGTATCTTTTGGATCAATTGAGCCTTCTCATGATGTCGTTGTCGTGCTGCAAATCGAATCTTATGCATCATCCCTCCTGATTCTTTAAACAAGTTAGTATCATGGCCCCCTACTTTCAATAGGATAGTCTTTCTCCATACGTACCATCAACATCGAGTGCTGCTTGTAATATATGCCTTACAGCTTCGCCGTGTGGATTGATGTACGTATATTCAAAGGTGTCATTATGGGTAGAGGATGGTGAATAATCCCTCGTTGATTGTTGTTGTTGTTGTATTACGGGAAGTGATTGTGATGATTGAGTAGGTGTAGGTGTTGATTGTGGTTCGAATGGCGAAGATGAAATATCCAAGAGCTCAATGTCATTGTCCTCATGGTTGTTGCCTTTGTTGAATGATTGCAAATTAGGCGATTGTTCTGATATATCCAAAATCTCGTCGATCTCTTTGTCGTTCAAATCATTGTTCCTCATGGTTGATGCTGATGATGATGATGACGCCTGATACTTTGATGGATCAAGCACATAAAGACTTAGATCAATCTCGTCCTCGTCACCACCCAAGTCAAGATCGCTGCTGCTATCATCGTCGGCTATGCTGCTGCTCTTTTGCTTTCGTTTTGATGATGATGTTGTGGATGCTCGTTTGGATTGGGTATTGCTGACATTGCTGTTACCACTCGGTTGTTGCAATTGACTTCCTGGTGACGAATTCTTGAGTTGCTGTGCCATGGCAACGCCTGCTTCGGTGAGCGTGTATTTGGAAGGTTTGCCGCTTTTATACACAAGGTCTTTGTCGATCAATGTCTTTATGCTGTTCCATGCTGTATAAGTCTTGGCGCCTCCATCGGTCATATCGAATGAGCTATCACAATGCTGTTCCGCAAGACCGATGATCTGATCCTTGTTGACGCTGTCATTGAAATTCTCCTCACGATGTTCAAGCATGGATAGCAAGATGGCATAGGCACCCGTACGATAGCGTGGCACATAGGTCTTGGTACTGCGTCGTTTCCTGGAAGGTTCACCATCATCCTGAGTGGTTCCTTGGGTATCATTCTTGCGCTTCTCTATATACAAAGTGTGAGTATTCCATGCATGCATACATATAATGTTGCCAGATAGGACTTACGAGACTGAGGATTTTCAGGCATTGGTAAACCATTCTCCTGACAATGCTTTTCAAGACGTCGTTCCAACCGCTTGACAAGACCTTCACCAATACCCTTGATCTGGATAGCCTCAGCTGGATGCGTAAATTGGAGGGGGCATTTGCCAAGATTGTCCGCAGCCTATACATGTATGACATGAGCATGCATTGCCCTCTTTCTTCCCCCTTCCCATTGTCAATGTCACCCACCTTTTTGTATGTAAAATAAGTTTTGAGTCCTCTTTCCCGTGCCTCTTCAGCCCATTCCTGGATCCAATCTCGCCACAGTGGATTAGCACACTTGCTCTTCTCACGAGCCATATCAAGTGTCGGGCAAGGTGATGTGGTAGGTAAAAGAAGAGTTGCATTTCATTGGATCAAATTGCTTCAATCCAGCACACGCGCTTCCCGCCGCGCGCAGAAAATCGCGTGTAGTATTAAAGACATCCATCCTTCCCCCGTGATTTCCATAAGCTTAGTGGGTGTGAGATTAACTATTGTAAATAAGCCTGCCAATAAATCACTTTATATCTTAAAACAAGAGACACTTTATATACCATCGAGTGCGTGAATCGAAAGTTGATGCTCTTCAATTAAAAGCAGGGTATGGCATATCCTACTACAAGCTGCACCCACCTTCCAAGATCACTTTTAGTAGCCTTTACACCATCTTCAGCCCAGTTGATACATTCGAATAGTGCCAATCAGCGTCAAGCATTATGAACATGCAATTTGCATAGGAATGGGTCACCTGACAACATTAAACTTTTGCATAAACGGATAATGTGCACCATGCATGATGTAGTCGATGAATACCATTGGTCATGCTGAAGAGTAGTACATCATGTTTGGCGCCATTTTCTTGTGTGTGTGTGTGTGTGTGTGTGTGTGTGTGTTTCCAATTGCTATGTAGCAGGTTGCTTCAAGATGTGGCATTGGAGGGTACGATGATGCATGATCAACACCGCTTGTCTAAAATCCACTCGCTGTCATCGTCAACTACACCCCCTTTAGGATGCAACAATAGTAATTGTTCACTGATATGTATCACATGAAATGATAAATGTTGTAATGGGATGATTTTATATGTTATGGGGGAAAGGATGCAGAAAGGAACAAGAAAAACTTTTTTATGAAGGGGGGGATTCGGGATATCGCGGGGATAATCTAATTATTCAGGGACATGAGAGAAAAGATAGGAAACGGATTCGCCGTTGTGGGTTCTAGAAAAATATACCATTGTCAGTAAAAAACCATTGTATGCATCTCTCTCCCCCATCATCGATTTACCTTCGGATGGCTTCAGCCAAAGTAGCAGAGATATCAATGACATCCAACTTTGGGCAAATGGCCTAAGGATCGGATCCTAATTAGTCACTCACTTTCCGGGGTAACCAACCAACCATGCACAACCAAAAGACATACCAGCTTATCATCATGAGGGATGGTGTTGGTAACAACGAGCTTCTCAATGACCGAATCATTAATGACCTTGATAGCCTTGCCAGACAAGATACCATGAGCCACAATGGCATATACTTGTTCAGCACCATTATCCTTGAGGGTCTTGGCAGCCAATCCCAAAGTACCACACGTATCTGCCATATCATCCACGAGGATAGCAATCTTGCCACGCACATCACCCACCAGCACCATGCGTGATACTTCGTTGGCACGCTTACGTTCCTTGTGGATCAAAGCAAAATCGAGATTGAGACGATCGGCAATGGCTGTGGCACTAGTACGCAATCCCCACTTTGTATGAGTTTCCCTTCTTGATCCCAATTTACCATAATAACAACAAAACTTACCGCTTTGCACCACCAGCATCAGGGGAGACAATGATAGCATTTTGCCAATTGGGAATGCGAGTTGAAATGTATCGAATCATGGAGGGTTCGCAATAAAGGTTATCCACGGGGACATTGAAAAAGCCTTGAATTTGAGATGCGTGTAAATCCATGGTGATAACGTGGTTGGCACCAGCAACGGTAAGCATGTTGGCGGTTAATTTGGCAGTGATGGGAGCACGGCTCTTGTCCTTTTTGTCTTGACGTGCATAAGGGAAACAAGGAATGACGGCCGTGATACGACGAGCGGAAGCCGTCTTGCATGCATTGATCATGATCAAGAGCTCCATCAAGTTGTCGTTGATCTCGCCACAACCGGATTGGATGATAAACACATCCTCGTCTCGCACGGACTCGCCAATGGTCACGGACGTCTCTTGGTTGGAATACTTCATCACATCGGCCTTGGCCACATTGATACCAATACGCTGGGCTACAGCCTTGGCAAGTTCAGGGTGCGAATTACCCGTAAAGATCTTGATTGAGTTGTCAGACATGGATCGCAATGCAGTAGTAGTGGGATGCAAAGAAGAGGAGGGTATGGGAAAGTTTATATGCAAAATAAAGATATGTATAGGTTGTTGTTGTTGTTGTTAATGCTGTGGGGGTGTTTTACACCAACAAGTAACAAAGATAGATAGAGAGGGGAGGGAGGGAAAACTATGTACAAAGGAAAGAAGAAGAGAAGAAAGAGGACCGGGCTTGATTGGTGACACCTACAAAAAGATGCCCATGACTGTGGCTTACTCATACCAACGCATCATCGTATAAAAACTATCCCCCTTTCACAGGGTCACATGGGTTAATCGCCATTTGCACACACCCACGCGGGGTAACAAGCTTCATTGTTTTCTTTTCTGACAAGTGAGAGAGAAACAATCATCCAAACGGGTCCATCCCACACACCAACGTGCACAAACACTCATTCTACATACACACGTCATACGTCGATCGAATGCTTCTATCACTGCTATATATTCCCTTTTGTTTGTTTGGATAGGAAATCACATGCGATTAACCGGAAGTCTTCGGAGACACAACATTTGCATTTATTATGGTGGCAAAAGAGAAACCAAGCAAAAGAGAGAAACAGAGAAAAGGGATTCCTTATTTCCGCAACACCGATGTACACGGGGATGACGCGGATCATAAAAAAAGGGCACCTTTGCTGCTACTGTTGCTGTTGTTGCAACGATGATGATGATCATGTTATAGGGTATTATGCAATGCTTGATCTCCCATTGTTACATTACATGACACTGCAACATAGGATTTTCTTTCGAGAAGGGGCAAATGGATCATTGGCTCGATCAATCACACCCCACACTGAAGGAACCAGCGGATCATGCGTTGTGTTGCAAAAATCAATGAGACTAGAAATTGTAAATCCCACATGTCAGACAATAGCGTGTAACACATGCAAACTTTTTTCTCTCTCTACTACCTGTTGGATGCTTCGCTGACAGGTATTCGTGGCATATCCAATTGCTGCTGCAAACGCTGACTGTATTCTAGGATCCGATTCAATTTCGATTCTGACAAGTGATGTTGATGGGTACGCCTGCCTCCTTTCATGGTTCAATTAACAAAAATGAAAAAGAGATGAGAGAGAAAGGGAGAAAAGAAAAAGGAATCCTTGTTGACACATGCACACTCAATTCATTCACTTCCTCACCCCCAATGTATACACACTGATACCATGCCCATTCATATTGTGTATACAAAAGGCTATTTTCCGCGTATCACATTTCTGTTTCTCCTTCATGTAACAAACAAATTACATTTTTTAGTGATGGATTTTGTGGTAACCAGGACGCAACACAATCACAGTAATGATGATGATAAAAATCAATGCGAGACATGAGCAGCATCCAAGTAACGTCCAGCGTCCCTCGCGAAGCACCGCTTTCCAGCTCTGTAGGTATCGACTTGCATTCCCACGAGTGGATCGAGTGTCATAATCATCGTCCTCGTTGGCTTGTGGGTGCAATACTGGATCAAGAAACGTTTCGCCATAGTGAGTTGCTAGTAGGGGTTGTTGATGTGGATGATGATGTCGTTGTGGAGGATGAGGATGAGGATGATGAGACGATCGGGGCATGTATGGCGGAGGTGGCATCTGAATCACAGACGATGTATACGATGGTGGCGAGCCCAAGATCGATTTTTCATCGGGTTGTTTGTCGTCGTCGGCGGCCATGATGTTTGATGAATAAAAGCAAGAGAAAAAGAGGATGTCTCCATGCAAATCGTGGCTGTGTAATGCTATATGCCGAAAGAAATATACACACACACTGATGCTCTCGTTCTCTCTCTCTCACTCTGCACTCTTCTTTGTTTGTCGGCACCAACAAAAAGAGAGAAACGAAATCACATATATAAAGGAGAGCTTGTGTTCAAAAGAGAAAAAATTGATCCACTTTGTAGGAAATCAAAGCAAAAATTGCATTGATCTTGTAGTGTGCTCCTTTACATATATGCCGACGTTGTTGTTGTCATGCAACACAACTCTCCTCTCATGACAAGTCATGCGTTGCATCCATCACCCGAATTCAGGCCGATCCATCAACGTCATCAACACCATCGTTCGATGATCGATGATGGGTATGTAGCAAGTAATAGCATGTATAGCTTGAGTGCATAGTTTCAAGTATGTATTTGTATTATACACCCCGCAAACTACAAAGTCGAGCATGTCAACATGGTGAAAGCTTGTTGCATGTCAAAGAAAAAACAAACATGCTTTGCATTGATGCATGTTCATAATGTATATACATGCTTGATTCACTTTGGATTGTAATGACAGGCATGACTTTTGTCACGATTAAAATCTGGTCGTCAGCTGAGACAGCATTTCAACAAGTGCATAATACAGAAAGCAGAAAAAGTGTATTTCATGCATTGTGTTCCTGGGTGTGACAATCCCTTTGACAAACACACTGTAGTAGCAGCAGCAGCAGCTTAATGTTTTACATGGAGAAGAGTAATTTTATATACAAGGATGAATGCAATTTGTACAAAGAGAATGGGGGTATTCGTATCACTGATTTGGAGCAGATGAGATTGGTGGTGGTGGGTCGCACTTGCCAGCCATGAAACTTTTCCAGTTTTCCGGTAGATTATCGTTTGTTGCAGGTTCACCAACATAAACTTTCATATTGGATGACCAAATCGTCTTGTGGTTGAGGCAAGCCCTGATCTTTTTAAAGGCATCGGCATTGGCGTAAGGAACACTGGTTTTTGGATCCATGTACTTTGCTGGCAATCCAGTGATGGGACACAGTGTAGGTTTCAAAGGTCGAGGGGGTCGATCAGCCCATGATACGAGTTCCGGAATAAGATCGGCACGGTCGAGTTCACGGTCCGTTAATCCTGTCAATGAATGATCCGCCTTGTCATTGTTTTCATGGTGCACAAAGGTGATAAGGTTGCGGCCGGCCATCTCACTCGATTCAATGTCCCGCTTCTTATGCCATGCAACAATGGTTGGATCGGTGATTTCATTGTGGATGTTGCTTTGTGGATCATTCAAAGAGGGCTCAATCATGAATAATTGTCGATGCTTCGGCCGCTCATCACCATCCGTAAACGAAGTATAGCGTACATAAGGTCCAACGATTCGCTTCTTGTCCTTCTTTTTGGCCTTGGCCTTCTTTTCAGCTTCCTTTTCCAACCATTGCTCCAATGACGCCTTGTTTTCTTGCTCGGTGATGGCAGCTTCGGCTAATAACTCTTCTTGAGTCATTTGCTTGACAACAGGTCGATCACGTTTCACAACTTGAGCCTATACATTGGTGTCAATGCCTTGTTGAAAGTACCCTACCCATCCATCCATACCTTTTTACTCTCATACTGCTTGATTTGCTCTTCCACATGTAATCGATTGCGTACAGTAGTAGCACGTGATGATTGTCGCTGCACATCTTTGACTACGCGTTTCTCACGAGGTCGTTTCTGCTGTGATGCTGATGCTGATTTGGTATCCTTTGCCTTTCGTTTGGCTGGTTGACGGAGAACACTTTGCATTCGCGCTTTTCTCGCCTATAACAAGCCATATCAGCAATGATCCAATATCCCATCAAGTCCATTATGATCCTACCTCTCGTTCTTGTTTTGCAATAGCCTTATCCTCTTGCTGTGCTTCTCGTTCCTGCTCCTCCTCCTCATCCGATGACTCGGTATTGAAGTCAGAGTCGATTATATCATGAAGCTCCTCGTCAGCTATTCTTTGTATGAGTGATATGCTGTTTGTGGTTCTAGAAGTTGAATACTAACGTTTGGTGACAAAGTCCTCGTCATCGCTCAGGGATTCTTGCTCAAACAGATCTTCGACTTCAGCTTCTTGATCAAGCAAAGCACGCATGCTAGAGATACAACGTCAGCGACTATAAAGAGGTACATTACTATGAGAATGACGTACCGATTGCCTGCATTGCTTCTTCGCTCTCTATCCCTTGCAAAGGACATGGTGTGTGTGTGTGCGTGTGTGTGTGGTAAAAGTAGAGGAGTGACAAATGGGTGCCATCGCTTGGACGCTGGGAAATTATTCCGCCCCGCTAGCCAGTCATGTGCACGGATACTCCATCATAGACAATGAACACTCGAGATTATACAATAGGAAATATACACATCTCCCTTCAAGGGAGATAGATCATTACATGTTTATTTGCATATGAAAGGTGTTTAAAAGATCTTGACGTTCCATTCCTCAGTGCCAGGGTCGTTGTAACGGATGTTGCGAGCACCAAGCTTAGCGACTTCATCAAAGTCTTCCTTTTCCAACACAAAGTCTTGGAAGTTATCAACAATACGAGAGGGAGTGACACTCTTGGGAACCACAGATACACCGCGTTGAGCAGCAAAAGCAATGCATACTTGTGCAGGTGACTTGTTAAGCTTCTTGGCGACATTAACGATCTACAATACAATGAGATGAGACTATTGGATCATGCGTCATTGTTATCCTATTCCACCTCCAAAACATACCACTGGATCATCAATGATGCGTTCCTTGCCATAGACGTTGTTGCCCAAAGGCGAGTAGGCGGTGATATGAATGTTCTCCTTGGCACAGAATTCGAGAAGCTCAGGTTGAAGAAGACCAGGATGCAATTCCACTTGATTGACAGCAGGACGAATACGACAATTCTTGAGGATGTATTCAATTCTGGGGATATCAAAGTTGGAGACACCTATTGAGAAAGGAGCATAGGATGAGTCTTCCTTGTACTACAATTCTCACTCCCACTCACACACACAATCCAAATCTTCTCGTGCTACTTACCAATGTGCTTGACGAGACCTTCATCGACAAGCTCCTCCATAGCCTTCCAAGTGGCGGCAAAGTCGACTTCTTCAATGGCTACCTTGCCATCCCTTTTTTGGAAAGTGTCAGTGTATCCATCTCGAAATCGGCATTTCCTTTTTTCCCTCCCTCCTCACTCATACGCGTCTTCATTGTGCATGCAATATACTTACTTTTTGGGGAAGAGGTATTCTTGAGTGGGGACGTTAGGGGTGTCCTCAGGCTTGCCTTCAGGCTATAGAATGATAATAATGGATGAGCACTGAGTCGAGAGAAATGATCGTTATCCAATAGTTACAGCAAAGCACACGGGCCAATGGATCAAGTACGAGTCTATGTTTTCCGTTAGCCATCTTATCAATGCCTTTTCCATCTCATCTTATCGTACCCAAGTAGGAGACGCCAAGTGCAGCAAGGGAAGCTTTGCAAGCAGCCTTGACATATTCAGGGCGATGATGGGTGTTCCACAACTATGACCAAGCAACGTATCTTTTAGCAAAATGCCATGGGTGGGTGGTATTATACGTTGTTTGCATGTATCTTACCTTGCCAGTAATGAAAATCTCCTCACGAGGGACACCGGATTCTTGAATGCCTTGGCCAACCTCATCCTCGTTGCGATACACGTAGGCACAGTCGAGATGACGATAACCTATTCATACAACCCCACGACGATATATCGTTATTATCCAGGTATCATTTAAGCGATTGCGTTTGCCAACTCACCAGCTTGCAAGGCACAAAGAACAGCCTTACGAACTTCATCAGGCTTGGATAACCAGGTACCGAGTCCTAAAGACGCAGTGTCAGGGGATGTGGGATGTTGCATAATATACGCCACCACCTTTTCAACTTACCGACAGTGGGGATCTTGGCTCCAGTATGAAGAGCTGATAGATACAATGGGCATCAATGAATAAACCATTTGCTTGTAAAAGTACACCGTTGATACACTTACTGCAAGTACGACCGAGCGACATGATTGTAAAATAAGAAAAAGATGATGGTGACCTAAGGATTGGATCGGCTGATATCTTTTATAGACCGCCACTAGACGCTTTGTCGTGGGAAGTAAATCCCGAAAAACGCCCGTAAACGTCCTAAAAGGCCGGTTAATCAGCGATTGGTCGAATGGTTGTACAATCCATGAAACTATGCAAACTTTGACAGAATCATGTTGGAATGAAACATACCTTGGTTGCTGTTGCTTCTCGGGTAAATTGCATCTGCTGAGGTACAAGAGCGCGGCATTTGTTGTTGTTGCCTAGCAACCAGATCGGCATATATAACCACATGAAGGTTCGAGTAGAAAAGGTACCATGTTTCTGGTTCAGCAGTAGGAGGAGGGTTCCTTTTCCGATTGCAGCACAATGAAAAAACCAATCCAAGATCTCAATATCGGGTCTAACATCCATCCATTTATTGCAGCGTGGATCAACGTAAATAAATAAACCAGAGTTCGCCAATGACTACAGATGCTGCTGCTGCTGCAATAATAGGCAATAAGATAAGATTCCATTTGAGAAATTGAAAGTAGCCCAATGTGAATATGCCTTTTGTCTTGAGTATGTGCTCGAACCTATGACATCCATCCTTAATGAACATCCTGTTTTCATAATCATAAAGGATCCATTACTTACATGATTCCTGCAAGACTCCCTACTAATGTAAGGCATGCACCCAAGTTGCTACCAACCACCAGCCCAAGTACGGCTGCCTGCACCACGACTTCAGGTAGCTGTTCGCCTTGATTGAAATTAGGGTGTTGTAAAATGCGTGTAAATAAAATCGTCATTGGCAAGTTGTTGAGAAGTTGACATGCAAGGATAGAAATGCCCATCACACCAAACACAGTGGCGGCATAATGGATCGTAACCACATGTAATCCCTTTGCAAAGATAGCAATCCATCCAACTTCTGAAAGGCCTTCCACTAATACAAACATGCTCAAAGCAAATGGAAGGATCGTCCATGGCATGCGTGCTATGACTGATGCTACACCAGGGATATGCCGCCAAAAGAATCGTGACCATCTAGGTGTGCGTTTCAACATATCCTTGACATCTCCATCATCATCATCATTCGAATTTTTCATGGTGGCTTCATGATCGGTGGTTGCCGTTTCAACAACAGAAGCAGCATCAGGTGGTGATGGTGATGGTGATGGTGATGGATGAGTAGTTGGTGTAGTAGTTGTAGTATTACGGTTGCGAATAGGCGTACCAGGATCATCTCCTCCTTCATCCTGATCCTGCCGAGATAAAACACCAAGTTCTATCACTGTCGATTGATCTCCTGTATCAGCACGTTGAGAAGCCGTCATTGGTTGTGGTCTCTTGAGTTCCTTGTCTTGATGCTTTGATCCATAAAGATCATACCATACGTCACGTATAAGCATAATGATGGCGAATGGCAATGTCACCATCCATACAGAGACACCGTGGACAAAGGAGGTTCCAATCAATGTAGCCAAACATGTACCAAGTAGCACCAAACCAAATACTGCTCCTTTGGGATCAATGAGCACCGACTTGGGTTCTGCATCGGGAGGGTATATCACGCGGGGAACATACTTTGGATTGTGGAACACCACACGCAAAGCAATGTATGCAATACCAAGGCAAATGAAGGTCGGCAACAACATCCAGGCTGAATAAGTAACGAAGTTGATATTGAATGCTTCCGAAACCACCACGTTGGTAGGATTGCCGATATAAATGGCCATGGATGCTGCATAATAATGATACATAAGTCACTCAAGGTTGAAAAGTCTACCCTCTTTCTCTTGGCTTACCAATGTTGGCTGATGTGAATTCACTCATGAGAAATGCTGTAGGTTGAATATCTGATACACGTGTAAAATACGAGAGAAAAGCTGTTCCTGTCAACACCACGACATCATTGCTTGCAAGGCCACTGATCAAGCTTGTCAAGATAAAAAAGAGAGAGAATGCCAAATGTCCACGATTGCCTGCTTTGCGTGAAACCCAAAATGCACAATATTGGATGAATCCAGTTGAATCAAGCGAGATGCAAATGTAAGCCTATTATTATTATTACCCAAGCCATTAATCCATGAACCCATTGCATGCTCCCCTGCAAAAAGATGCTTACCAATGAATAAAAGAGTAGCATGATGGCATATGGCTCTACGCCAACATTCGTCCCTAGGAAGCCATCCGCTATGGTTTGCCAATGAATTGTCTGGCTTGACAATAAGACCACTAGACCCAGAGGAGGTGCCGTCGCCAAGTTGAAGTGAAGGGTAATGTGCTTGTTGATGCGAACATGGACAGGTCGGATCACAAATACGAGAGCAAACAAGAAAATGGCAAGAGCCACCCAGGAATGAGCGTCCAGGTCAGTGGCAGCAATGGAGTCCATGGAAAAGAAGAGTGATCATGAGCCTGTGTGTAGCGTTGTGTGATCCCAAATAGTAGCAGCAGCAGCAGTAAAGAAAGAAAAGACGAGATCGAATTCGAAACAAACGCGGTCGTACAAGCAAAGCAACAGTGCGGCGCGCGGATCAATCCCATCCAAGATCGGAGCCCACATGTCACTCGAAATGCATGGTTGCTTGGAAACCAAGGAAACGGATTCAACTTCAACGACACTCTACTGCAGCCAGCATGGGGTAGATATACGGTTTCCAATGAGTTGCCAGTCATCTGCAACGACGATCGAATCACTGAAACCTCAAAGGACCCACCAGGGAATAAGATTGGATAATAACACAAAGACAACAAAGAGCACAAGTAATAAAGAGCTACACAGAGCAACGTATGAGCTACTTTTGTCTCACTAAAAACAACTCTCCTTACTACTTACCAATCGCAGAGACTTGATGATATATGTGATGGACGAAAGAGATGTGTGATAATGTTGATGACAACACCCTTGCTATATGCGCTTGGGTGTGGAAGTTGTTGACAGACCAAAGACGAGGAGAGGTGTATGAGCCGATAAACTGGTCGCCACCTTAAGCGATCAGAAAACAGCTGGATCCCGTACATCCCAAAGAATTGCAACGAACGTCTTCTTGTATATACCATGTCGATTTATCCAAACATAATCGATCCATCCATATTCTGAACCTTCACAAGCCGATTTGACACCAACTATCAGACGCGGATTCCACATGTTGCTAATAGAGGTACCATCTTCTCTTCAAGGCGATGAAAGCATGAGCCATACAATGATGGAGCCTTCAAGTAGCACCCTGGATCGCACCGATCTCCGCTGGCACAACATGGTCGTTTCCCCTAGCACGGTACAACGGCATCCTGGATGTACTGTCGTGGTAATAGTAATAGCCGAGCAAGAGCATGTCACTCTATTTCTTTTTTGTAAGTTCACTTTGAAAATGACCAACCAGGATACCACTTTACCTACTTGGGATACTTCTCGATTGCATTCTCGCTTTCAATAACTCCACTCCTTAATCCATCCATAATGCACTGCTGCTATTTCATTGGAAGAGCCGTCAATTAACAGGTCTTGCTTTGTTGATCCAACGTCATGCGTACCAGTAGAACAATGTACAGCGTCGTTCTTGCTTGAGATCAATATCTAGTTGCTGCCACGGGTAACATCATCCAATATTCTCAAGCTACAATAAATGCAATGTAAGATGTCATGGCAGCCGTAGCATTTGCCTTCTTGGCCAACATACCCAAAGCATCTACGTGTTGGGGACCTTTCCTTGACGGTATCCATAGAAAGTATTCACGCGACACATGACAGGCCTCTTGGACCTTGTATAAACGAGAAACATCAAACTACACGTCAACGTTAGTATTTACAACGACCAATATGAATAATAAAGTACTGCAGCGATTGAACGTACATGTTGTGTTGAATGGAAGGTTGGGTCATTGGTAGATCGCGCGCGCACTTGTTGACTTGGAAAGGGTCGCCATTAACGACCTGTTCGCCTCTTGATGCTCTGCATTGAAGGTAACAATGGCATCAGTTAATGCTCCTTACTTTGTCAATGGAGTTAGGCTTACCTTGCTGTCTGAAACGGGAGAGAAGAAGAGTGGTTCTTTCTCTTCGCTTTTCATTGTTCTATATTTGTGCGCCCAGCACGCCACCGCGCTTGCTACAATTGCTGTTGTCGATATGTATGTACCTCAACAATATCCTATACCTTTGGATGAAAAGAATAAACCACTGCTCGAGATTCCACTTGAACATAGTTATAATCGCTAAGCTATACATGATCTTACTGTGTCCAGGAGGTGGCGTCATTATGGTCCGTGCAGCATTATCAGACTGATTGCTCTTTATGCAGCTCAACTCCATACACCCAGTGTAGATCTATCATTTATAAGCATCCATCCGTGATATATACGTGTTCATAAAATAAACCAATTACTTTGATACATCTTCATTATTGGATGTTGTTTACTTATGCACGTTCCTAAACACAACCATTATCATGCATTTGTGCAGCAACCTATCAAGGACGTGTTTGTGTAACACCACGTGCCATTTCACGCAGCTCTCCATCTTTCCATTCATGCAGCCGACACCATCCATTAGGAGAAAGCAGCTCCATCACGCTTACAACATAGTAAAAACATAAAGACGCCTGTATCTCCAAAATCTACAATCAAACGTGGGGTTTTCATTAGAGCAATGTGCTCGGCTTGGCCAACTGCACCTTGTGTGAAAGTTTCACGATCAAGCTTGCCAATCCCAGATTTCGCAATGTCGCTACCAGCCAAACTGGATCTGGGGGTCGACGAAGGGCATGTTGATGCCGTGATTGATACCACTGAAACGGACAAGTATTTCTTTTTCGATTGTCCTTTTGTTCACGAAGTATGGCGAAACCTTGCAACTCAATTTTCTCTAAGCTCTTTGGTTCAGTGGGACCACATCTCTACTTTGTCGAGAATACCACCACATCCAACCTCCGACACCCGTATTACAGGCACCACCATTATTGCTTGCGGTGTGCTGGCCATATGGAAAGCCCATTGGCAATTCATCTACAACGACGAGCGTTTTCAAGCACAAGCTGTTGCTGCCAAGGCTGCCACCACCATACATCAAATTGAACAAGAGCACAACCTCTTAGCTAGAAATGTCTGAATGTCTTCATCCATCTTTTCCCCTATCCCTTTTACACAACATCTATATTAAGATGTTAATAAAAACAGTTTACATACCAAAAAATCTGGGGGTCGACCTCTTCGACGACGACGACCAAAAAAATATTTTTTGGGCTAGTTGCGACATTGAACGTGAAACTTTCACACAAGGTGCTGTTGGCCAAGCTGAGCCCATTACTCTAACAAAAACCACACGTTTCATTGTAAAGTTTGGAGATACAGGCGTCTTTATGTTTGTAAGCATGATGCTATATGGGAAGTGGTCTTCGTTCAATGTCAAGTCGCTGGACCCTGGCAGAGCAAAAGATGCAGAGGGACCTCTTTGTGTAACTCAGCTACTTTGCATGACTAGAAGGGTGGAAGGATGATACTGTATACTATTGACAATATCCCATACATTGCGAGCTAACAGCCATTTCCTCACAATCGGAAATGTTGCCTATTCTATGACAGTGGAACGATGCTCCTGCTTCAGACATTCATTTCCATGATTGGATTATGTTGATCCGAGTTGATTTGGCTGAGCTACGCTCATACAAGGTTACTTCAGTTGCGCAACATAGAGCATGGTTAGATGTGTGGACTGATGTAATCCGTCTTTGGCTGCATCTCGGTCAAATCAACTCGGATCAACATAATCCAATCATGGACGTGAATGTCTGAAGCAGGAGAATCGCTCACATGTCATAGAGTGGACAACAGTGGCTATTGTGAAGAAATGGCTGTTAGCTCGCAATGTACAGGCTTTTGTCAACAGTATATAGTATCATCCTTCCATCCTTCCAGTCATGCAAAGTAGCTGAGTTACACAAAGAGGTCCCTCTGCATCTTTTGCTCTGCCAGGGTCCAGCGACTTGACATTGAACGAAGACCACTTCCCATATAGCATCATACTTACAAACATAAAGGTGCCTGTATCTCCAAACTTTACAATGAAACGTGGGGTTTTTATTAGAGCAATGGGCTCGGCTTGGCCAACAGCACCTTGTGTGAAAGTTTCGCGTTCAATGTCGCAAACAGCCCAAAAAATATTTTTTTGGTCGTCGTCATCGAAGAGATTGAACCCCAGATCCAGTTTGGCTGGTGGCGACATTGCGAAATCTGGGAATGGCCACGATGAACTTCATACTTTGACACAAGATTCCTTTGACCCCGACGAGCACGTTGATCTATTAAAGAGCCCACGTTTGATTGTAAAGTTTGGAGATACAGGTACCTTTATGTTTGTAAGCGTGATGCTATATGAGAAGTGGTCTTTGTTTAATGTAAAGTAGTATGACTATAATAGAGCAAAAGATGCAGAGGGCGTGTTTGTGTAACTTGAGTCATTCAGCACAGGCGATGCATGATTCTTGTATACTATTTAGGAATAGTTCAAAATGCCAGCTAGTAACCAATGCATGCGAACGATTGTCTTGCTCCAGCCCAGCATGCCCATCATTAAACTTTCATGATTCGAGCTAACCTTGGTAGTAAGGTAATGGCTGTTGTTGGATCATCGTTGTCATGTAAAGTGTAAAATGACACACATCCTTTTGCTAAACGTGAGGATCATTTCTTTTATTTACGTGTACCTATTGTCTATCGTGAGGGTGATGATGACGATGGGTGGATGGCGCGTGTGTGTGGGGTCATTGAGTGGCCTCAGTGTAATAGCAGTAGGGGATTTAAGCTTGGGGGACAACAGCTCCACGACTTGAGACAACTCTTCTCGTCTTTTTCTCCCACCTTTCCTTATTCCATTCACGACATCTCGATCAAGGTAATGTACTATAAAAGAGTGCTCTTGTTGGCTGTGAGGTGTTAATGTAGTTCTGCACATGCATTGTCAGGGTGTGAGTGTGTCCAAGTGCTGAGGAATGAGCGTGGTTGGTTGTTGGTTGTTGCCACGGCGATATCGTTGCTTCCTCTTGTTCGTTCCTATTCCCGCTCTATGCTTGGTGTCAACAGGTACATTGAGAGTCCAATGTTGCAGCCGAACTGGTTACATTGACGTGTTAGCTTGTATAGAGGGCAAGTTTGGTCTCAAGACGTTGGCTAGTTTGGCGTTTTGTTTCGGCTCAACAACACTATACCATGGTTTTCCGTTTCCAGTAACCAACAACAAAGGGGTTTTTGTGTATACGGAAAAGGCAAGTACCAGGAAGCAAACAATGAAAAGGGTGTTTATTGTGTGCGTGTGTGCTAATAATGAATTGAATAGCTTTGGTCAGGCAATGCAACTTGGGGCATCATCATCTCTTCAGGTTCGATTCCCAGCCTGTATCAAATGGTCGATGGCGATGGGTTGTTGGAAGAGCATGGTCACCGTGTTGAGGTAAAAGGGGATTTGCAACAGCTTGTAGTCGCCCCGGCCGTGAATGTGTTGACATCAGTGCGAATCAACATGCTATTCTCGTGATAGGCTCGTTCTTTCCCTTGAGGATTTCTTTTCATGAGGTGGGAAATGATTGGAAGGATTGGGAATCATTTTTTCTTTGGAGGGAATGAATGAGGACAACTATGAGCCTGGATTCTACGGAAGTGATGTCCTTCCTTGCCATGGATCGAACTGGCCTTGCGTGATTCGTGCAGTGCCTTCTCAAGAACAAGGGATCGCCCGACGTTGCTCGTATGGTGGTGATTTGAATTGTGAAGTACTTCTGATTTGCTTTCTTCCTTAGAGAGGATCGCCTAACGGTATACCAAATTGTCATCATTCCGGTATCAGATGGTCTAACTTGGCTGCTTTTTATTTATAGAGACGACAATTACGATGATTACGACATTCACAACAATGACAATTACAATGTTCACCACATTCACAGCAACGACAACGAGATTCAAAAGGAAGCCTGCAAGGTCGCATTCTTTTCTACTTGTGTGTCTTGGATATTGTGACGACGACTTTGAGCACCACCAGACGACGACGACTACGAGTATAAGTATGAATGATGAGGAACTAGGAAGGATAGTGGCAAAGATAGCTATAGCTGCATAAAGGAAATAAAGGGTTGTTTATTACCAAACTTGGATTTCGCTAGCTTATCTGCTTGTTATATGTTTGTGGATAACGTAATAGTAAAGCGTGATACCCTCCCAATGTACTCTTCAAACACCCGTTCCGCAATCGTATAGAGTTCGCGCATAGTTGGGTCTGTGCTGTAACCCGAATCAGATAAGGATGGTTTGCGGCCTGTCAAGAAAGCCATCATGCTGACCAATGGATGCCGAGGCATTTTTTGCGTGTGGGGATGCATGGTGTCTATGCTCGCAATATAGCACACATACAAGCATATGGTCATTCCTCGCTATGTATTCTTGAACACCCTATATCGAACATAGCTAGGTAGGTGTATGCGTGCTGGTGACCCACATTTTTCCCAGGTCTCCTTTCGATACTGGACAACAATGGAACTTGTTTGCGTGCACGACAGTTTGCAAGCACTCCATGATTGATACTTGATACGATAACGATAAGAACGACTGGTGCAATGTTCACTTGAGAAAAGAGCTGCGCGCGGTATGACAATCTTGAAAGCTGAAAACTCTTCATCATAGTGATTTATATGTATACTGCTTGGTGTCTTCAGAGAGATCAATGATAGAGTTGTAAGCAAGGCTAATGTAGATGGTAGATCAAGTCCCACCACAGCGACCAAACACCGTATGTATCAGCAATTCGCTCCATTAGACTTTCTACGCTTGGGCGATTCTGTCAACTAGATCCAGAGCTTGTGACGTCTCCACACGGTTCGAAGCATGGCAAAGGGCAATTAGAAGTTTGCAAACTTCTTTATCTAAAGCCTGCCTTAGAACTATCACTTGTGGACTAGACGAAGATTGCACCTCAAAGGATCCACCAGGTAATAAAGAGCTGCGTACAGAAATGGCTACAAAGAGCATCGCATGAGCTACTTTTGTCTCACTAAAAACAAACTCTCCTTACTACTTACCAAATCGCAGAGACTTGATGATGTATGTGATAGACGAAAGAGATGTGTGATAATGTTGATGACAACAGCCTTGCTTATATGTGCTTGGGCGTGGGAATTGTTGACAGACCAAAGGCGAGGAGAGGTGTGTGAGCTGATAAAGTGGTCGGCCTCCTTAAGGGATCAGAAAACAGCTGGGTCCCGTATATCCCAAATGATTGCAACGAACGTCTTCTTGTATGCACCATGTCGATTTGTCCAAGCACAATCGATCCATCCATATCCTGCATGCCATCGTGCCCATTGCCATGAACGCTTCACAAGCCGACTTTGACAACGCTATGAGATGTGGATCCCGCATGTTGCCAATAGAGGTACCATCTTCTCTTCAAGGCGATGAAAGCATGAGCCATACAATGATGGAGCCTTCAAGTAGCACCCTGGATCGCACCGATCTCCGCTGGCACAACATGGTCACCCCCCCCAAGAGAGTACAGTGCAATGACATCCTGGACGTGCTGTTGTGATAATAGTAACAGCTGAGCGAGAGCATGTTCACTCTATTTCTTTTCGTAAGTTCACTTTGAAGATGACCAACCAGGATACCACTTTACCTACTTGGGATTTTTCTCAATTGCATTTTGCATCCAATAACTCCATCTTCTTCATTCCATCCATAATGTGCTGCTGCTATTTCATTGGAAGAGCCGTCAATTAACAGGTCTTGCTTTGTTGATCCAATGTCATGCGTACCCCCAGTGGAACAATGTACAGCGTCGTTCTTGCTTGAGATCAATATCTAGTTGCTGCCAAGGGTAACATCATCCAATATTCTCAAGCTACAATAAATGCAATGTAAGATGTCATGGCAACCGTAGCATTTGCCTTCTTTGTCAACATACCCAAAGCATCTACGTGTTGGGGACCTTTCCTTGATGGTATCTATAGAAAGCATACATACGACACACGACGGGCCCCTTGAACCTTGTACAAACGAGAGACAGCAAACTACACGACAACGTTAGTATCATAACGTCCAACTTGAATACTAAAGTACTGCAGCGAT